AAATTTATTATTTAATTATTATAAATTTAGTAAATAATTTTTATCAAATGATACTAAAAATTTGATTAAAATTATTATAAAAAATTATTTTAAAATAATATTTTTTTATAATTTATATCAAAACGCAATTGCAACCGCAACGAACCATTCACTTCTAACCGTACCCACTCGCAATCGCTGTCAACTGCAACTTATCAACCACTCAGTACTTATCATTCATAATCGCTATCAAACGCTTTGAAAACGCCGTCACCCGTAACCGCAACCGTTGCGGTACAACGAGTCGAACCTTATATTTCGAATGGTATACAACTATATATAAACCAAGCAATTTATAATTATGCATATAATTTTTTCAAATATTTTGATTTAATGAAAACTAAACGAAAGCTAATATAAAATCAAATAGATATATTTTTGTTACTGCTTGTGTTTAGTTTCGAGTTTGATGCTTTTTTCTTCGTTTTGCTTTGTCTCATTTTGTAACTAATGAATCAGTGGACAATTAAAAACGATTTTCTGATTGAAATACAAATAGAAATAAAATATAAAAGTACAATTGATCCGATCTAAAGAATTATTTAATATGAGTGCTCCAAAATAAAATAGAGTGATTTCAAAACTAATGCAAGAATAATTGAATAAAAAATAGAATTTTATTTAATGGAAACTAAACTAAAGCCACTATTATTAAATCGAATAGATTCATTTAATTAATTCAATACAATAAACTAATTTTATAAAAAAAACAAATACAATAAACTAAATGGCCACATGTTTATTTAATAAACCCACGAACTTTGGTTTATATAAATGCGTCCGTCGCGAGGGAGACAAGCAAGCCACCAATCTCTAATATAAAAGTCTCTCTCTCTCTCTCTCTCTTGTCGAGAGAAGAAATATAGTATTGAAATGGCAGGGGGCCGTAATTACGCGAGGGTGGTGGGGGTAATACTGACATTGACGGTGGTGGCGGGGCAGAACATACCGGAGGTGGGACTGTTCAGTTTCGGGGACTCGTACTACGAGGTGGGGAACAAGAGGTTCCTGACGACGGCCTTCCTGCCTCAGACCACTTGGCCCTTCGGCAAATCCACCGACGATCCCAACGGTCGCTTTTCCGACGGCCGGATCGTCCCCGACTTCATCGGTACGGACACCACCACCTCCTTGTTTCTGTTTCTTACACATGTCTGAATGTTAGATCCGACGTAGATTTTCATATCTAAAATAGCCTTTATTAGTTTGTCCATTTAGAGTCTAATTTTAGAATTATTTTTTTTTATCATACCAAATTAATACTATCAATATATTCTTTAAAGTTGAAAGTAGATTAATAAAAGCCAATAGATTTTCTTAGGATTTTTTTTTTAAAAATCATGATGGATCTGTAGACTTTACATACTTGAAATTTTAGTACTCTGCTTTTAAGAATTCTGTGGGTAATATGTAATTTGAGTAAACTAGCATTTTCTTCGAAGTTTCAAAAATTCTATATATTTCTCCGGTGTCGTCTTAACTCGTTACTTCATCATATTTGTTACTGTAGAGTATGTGCAGTTTAATCAAATGAAAGATCAAAGATTAGAACCTTCCTTTTCACAAAAATAAAAAATATACGTCGTTATATATATATATATATATATAAATAATATTTTTGTGTGGAATATGGATTATGGAATGAGCAGCTCAGTTCATGAAGATACCGATACCGGTACCGGCGGCTCTGGACCCCAACGGGAATTTCTCACGCGGAGCCAACTTCGCCGTCGCCGATGCTTCCGTTCTCGGATCTCCTCCTGAATCCGTACGTATGCCCACTTTTTTCCATTTTCAAAAATATTTACTTATTATTGGATGATTTTGACCCAAAAAAAAATTATTATTGGATGATTATATGTCATGATGGCAGTCTTTTTGGGCTGTGGATGTTTGTCTTTTTCGATGTCCATTTATTGATTTTTTTTTAACTATACTAATAATCATCACCATATCATTATGAATCTTTTTTTCCCCTAATGATTGGAAATCTTGCAGATGACTCTTGCCCAACAACTGAACAGATTCAGAAGAATGGGGAACTGGAACGATGATTTCTTGTCGAAATCCTTGTTCATATTCTACATCGGAGCCGACGATTACTTGAACTTCACCAAGAACAACCCTGCCGCCGACGCCTCTGCCCAACAGGCTTTTGTCACCTCCGTCATTTCCAAATTAAGACAAGATCTCGGCGTAAGCCCCCTCCCCCCCTGTTCTTCACCATTCTCCGTAATTTCGTCACTGATATAGAGGCCGTAAATGGGTGCAGCTATTCTACGTGAACGGGGCGAGGAAGTTTGCGTTCCAGCTGCTGGCGCCGCTGGGCTGCTTTCCGATCGTGAGGCAAGATTACAACACCGGAGATCAATGTTACGAGAAGCTCAACGACTTGGCCAAGCAGCACAACGACAAGATCGGGCCGATGTTAGACGCTCTGGCCAAGGAGAACAAGGGTTTCCAGTACACCGTCTTCAATTTCTACGACGCCATGTCTCGCAGAATCAACAGGAACCTGAACTTCAGTGAGTTCCCCCGTTGAAAATCTATATATAGATACATACATACGCATGTGTATTGAACTAAATGATGGTTTGATGATCGATGTTCAGGGTTCAGTAACGTGATAAATTCGTGCTGCGGGATCGGAACGCACAACGCGTTCGGATGCGGGAAGCCCAACGTCCACTCGAGCCTGTGCGACTACCAGAGGTCGTTCCTCTTCTTCGACGGCCGTCACAACTCGGAGAAAGCCAACGAGGCGATCGCTCACCTCTTCTTCTCGGCCGATCCCAACGTGGTCTCGCCCATGAACCTCCGGGAGCTCATCGTCTACCCCGCCAACATGAACATGCTCGAGAGTTACCAGCCGAAGAATTCCGTCAGCGTTGTCGCTGTCGGTGAGGAATCAGTGTCGGAGTTCTAGGGTTTTATGACGGTCGAATAATTCCAAGGAATATCCTTGCTGTTGTTTGTTTGTAATATTTGAGACTATGTGATGAAATATTATATGTTTTGAGATCCGATGGTAAATGGATGAAGTAGAAAAATAGTGACAGATAACTATATTCAAATTAAATTCTATATAAAAAAAATCAACGATTTAAAAATAGTGACACACGGACCGTTCACAAACACATCCCGACAACATGAGTTGTTTTACACTAGCATTGATTAAAACAAGATAAATATCATGAAACCAAACACAATGTAAAAACCTAAACCCGCATACATATGTACACACACGCTTATATGTGTATTGTATGCATGCGTGCATGTGTAAATGGACTGCATGTTGTGGAACGTGCATATGATTTCATTCACAAAGCAGAATGTTAGAAGAGAAGAAGAAAGTTCAAGATTCACGGTAATGCTTTGCGTTACATCGGAGTCTCGGAGACATAAAACAACACACACACAAGCAGATATCATTCTTGAGTACACTAAAGACTTGGGCTCGAAAACTTTGATGATCAAATGTAAAGGTAAAATCTGAAGGAAGAAACCTAAAAACATGTACCTCTATTTACTTCATCAACCCCATTATATCAGAAAAATACAGAGCATCCCCCATGGAGAGAACTGACTACAGAGATCACTCCCATGCCGGCTCTGGCTCAATGCAATGCAGTAAAGGTTCAGCTTGTTACAACAGCCGACCCTGAAACGAAAAACAAACCAAACCGCAGATAAAACGATGTAATAACACAGTTTTGGTGTTGAGAAAACAAGAGGGGAAGAGACTGAAACTCACTAACAGGCAGCCTTATTTACACGACGAAGGTGAAAGAGAGATTTGATCTGATCAGAAGACCCCTTCAAGGGTTGAAGGGATCTCGTCAAAGGTCCAGAGATCCATTGGGTTTGCCCCTTCCTGAGTCCCGGCAGCGCCTCCGCCCAGTAAAGCTTCAAGTGAAGAGGAGTCCCAGGTGCTGTTGTCGAGGTAAGGTGTCTGGAAGTAATTCATTTCCACCAACTCATCAGAGAGTGACTTATCAGTGTTTGACGCAGGGATCGCCTCCTGAGTAGTGGGCTTCTGCTTCTTCGCTGGATTAGTGTCCTCCATTAATGGAGCTGAGTCATTGACGAACATAGACGAGATCTCAGGGGTCTTGGGTCCTTGATCGCTCCACCCGAATTCAGAACAGTCAAATGTGTTGCTGCCCTGGTCTGAACTGAACACATCTTGCTGGAACGAGTTTGTCAGCCCGAAATGATCGTTAACCTGGGGTTTCTGATCCACCAGCCCTGTGTTATGGAAGCAGTCTTGTCCCAGATTGTCAAAGGAGTTCATGTTCTGATCCAGATATGGCTGAACCAAGGTTGGGTTTCGTCTAGCCACTGGCTTCTGGGGATTGGCCTTAGCAGGACGCTTCTGGCTGACACGAGGGGTTTCCTCGGGGAAATTCACCTTAGCTTTCTTGCCACGGATTCTGCGAGCCTCGGCATCATAAGCTCTTGCAGCTTCTTCGGCAGTGTTGAAAGTCCCGAGCCAGACTCGGACCCCTTTCCTTGGGTCACGGATCTCGGCTGCCCATTTGCCCCATGGTCGTTGCCTAATGCCCCGATACTGGTTCTTTCTCTTCCTCTTTGCAGATTTCTCAGCTTGCCCATTGGATTCTGGAGCTTTCTTGGCAGGGGCAGAACCTATTTCAGGAAAAACAAACAAAACATGTCAAAACATTATCGACCAAGAACAAGTATCAAAATATGAACTAAATTAGAAAGAACGTAGATATCTAACTCCAAATGTTCCATACCAAAGGCTCACAAAAACAGATCAATCCAGACAATAAAACAGGCTGATCTGCTTGAAATGATAAGAACAAAACTACATGATTCGACTTATTTAAGTAATCATCTCTAAAAAGATTTTTTTAAGGGAATCAATATGAAAAAAAAAAGAACACACACATGGATTTCAATCTACCTGCAGCAAATTCCAGAAAAAGAGGCTACTTTCGGGTTAACAGGTAAAGCCCATTCATTCATTGGGGAACTTTTTTGCATATTTTTTTCTCTCTCGCTGATCGATTGTAAACAAAACAATCACTTAAGCAATCTTTTCTCGAGGAGTAAATAACTCATCACAAATGACATTTAACGAAGAAAAAGAAACATTGGAACCCAACCCATACCAGAAAGCTCCCAAGTTCAAGAAGAGAGAGAGGGAGAGAGAGATAAGCACTAAAATCAAATGAACCGAACTATTTTCAAACCCACAAGATTCCCAAGCTTTCGGAACAAGCTACACCCATTTACAGTGAAAATCACAAAATTTACCATCGGAGTCGGCGGCGGAGCGGACGGCGGGATTCGGAGGAACGGGGAAGAAAAAGGGCTTCACGTCAGCGAAGACATCATCGGCATCGAAGTCATCCTCGAAATCGATGAACGAATCATCCTTGAAACCCTGAAAATCGGCCTCGAACGCAACGTCCAGATCGAAGAAATCGGACCGCTTCTTCGAGTTCTGCTTCGAGCTCTTCGCTTTCGCGTTCTTCTTCAGATCCGACCAGATGCATTCGATAGCACCGCGTCGGGATCTCGGCGGCGGTATGAAATCGGAGATAATAGCACCTCCACACATATCGGCTCACGAAAAGGGCGTAAATGTTCACAAATGGAATCTCAGAGGCGAAAATGAAAAGGAAACTCTCTCTTCTCTCTCTCGCTTCGTATCTGTTTCACCAGAAAATCTGAAGAAAAGGTGTACAAGTTGACAGAGTCGGTGGACAGAATTATATAGGTTGATATTTTATTACTTTACCCTTTTCTGAAGCCAGTTATTACGGTTGTGCCATTACCTCTGAGCAGTTCACCTAACGTCTGGCCAAACGATTAGTAGTCTCGTTTTTAGTCCACCCATATATTTATTTTGTAATATTTTTCTTGAATCCTAGGTTTTGTTTTTCAAAATTTGATGTTTGATTAGAAAAAATAAAATAAAATTCCCTTGTAAGTCAAAATAAATCATCGAATGATAACTATACGAAAACATATTAAACTAAAAAAATACTGAAATCTGTAGTTTAGTCAATACAATTACAACTAGATAATGTGTCTAGATTATTTTCTATTTATAGCAATGAATTGATTGTGAATATCTCATTTTGGATGTATTGTCTTCCTGATTAGGAAAATGATCTTTTGTTTACTGTAGTTCCTAGTTGCACATCAGATATCTTCCACACATTTTATTAACTGCACTTCATAGTATAGTATTTGATATCTTTTGAATTTTAATCCAGATTGTTGAAAATTTTACAATTATATTATGTAATAATATATAAACATTATACATAACTAGTAGAGAGACAAAAGACCGGTTCAAATAGTTATATAAAGTTTTTAGTTAGTAATGACATTTACGAAAGCCCAAAATTAAATTACAAACCAGTTATCTAATACACATAGCAAAATGGCAAAGATGTGAAATCAAGAAAAGGTGAGGGTGAAATAGAGAAAGACTCTTGAGCAGTCCCAAAATATTTGGGACACGAGAAAAAAAGATGGTCCATAAATACCATTCACATTGTAATGCAAATTATATATTATTTAAAAAAATATGCTAAAAACGAATGACAAATGCATGGGAAAATATTTTTAATTTTATTTTGATAAGACCCACGACGAAATTTTCCCATATTTTGCAAATATTTTTTTTAGGTTTTTTGGTAGGTGGTACAATTATTTGTTTTGAAGAATTATACTACAGATATTAATCAAAACACGCGAAAATGAAATGAAATGGAATTTTTTAAAACCAAAATTATTGAGAGGACAGACTAAAACTTTGATTTAACATATAATCTGGTTGTCTACCACTACTAGCAGCAACTCCTATTCTTTATTATAAGATTGACACTTGCAGGTACAATACATACAATCTTTTTGTAACATCATCATCATCATCATCATCATCATCATTCTTTTGAATAACATATTCTAATTGCAGGTAAAATAATTAAAGAATTATAATATTTCTTTTTGTTTTGTGTTTGTTGACATTGATTTCATTCACGAATGAGATAAATGTGTCATTCTCCTTCAGTTGGGTCGGCCAGAGAAAAGGGCTATAACAACTCGGTTGGTTACTTGCTCCGTACAAAAACAACAAAACAAAAACTCGGGTTTGGTCTGAAACCTGAAACGATCTTATGCTACTTACTGCTTATGCATGAGTTTCAGGCAAAAGAGGTTATGTGAACAGCGACACTTCAAAATGAGCTTACAGGTAAAGCTGGATCAGCTCATCACTTACTACTGATGGTGTGAGAACACCAAGATCAGTGAAGAGGAGAGTGAGGTACTGAGGAGGAGTATAGTCCCGAGCCGATCTCTCCACCTCTACCTTTGAAGGGATAGGAACCCCGAAATCAACGGGTCGTAAGGCCGGCTCCATGTCTTTCTGGTCCAACGGGTAGAGCCGAGCAAACTGCAGGTGCAGAAGAAAGAACGGAGAATATATATATGATCATGAATTTGTAGATTTGGCTATGGTGGCTGGCTAGAAAGCTGAGGTTTACCTTGTAACTTTCCGCAGCCACATAGACTGGTTTGTTCATGCTTTGAGCCACCAGGGCGATTTGGTATGTACCCATCATGTTGATTATACCTCCACTTTCAACGACACCATCGGCTCCAACAAATACCATGTCTACCTCATCCATGCTATATGCCACGGCTGAATCTATCACGAGCTTTACCGGAACATCAAGCTTTGCAAGCTCATTGGCCAGTAGTATGCCTGTCTTGTCCGGTCTTCCCTCTGGATATATGTTTCCATTGGTGTAAAAAGATGTTATTAGGATATGTTCAACATAAATGTAATAACAGCTTTCGGAAAATCTCGTGGAAATGTAATAGTAGAAGTTCAGGGCATTCATGCTAAGATTTTCCATATCGAGAACAGAACCTTCGAGGTAAATTATTCAGGCAGAACCACGAAAATGTGCAAACCCAACAATGTTCAAGAATCATAGAAGTTTTTCAGAAGAGAACCTGTGCAGAAAACTCGGAAGAGTTTCTTATTTTGTGCCGCCGTTTTCAGCACTTCAAATACAACTCTGGAGAACCCATGCACCAGTATAGTACACCCATCAAATATAAAATCTTGACTAAGCATCGCTATTATTTTCCGTGCCTGCATTAAGCAGCGCTAGTGTTTCAAAATCCTTCTTCCACTTCTATTATCGGGTGCAACCTATGTTATTATTTGAGAGAAATGGACGATAGAAAATCTAAATCGGGGAAAGCAGAAACCTGACTGACTCACCTTGCAAGATATTTCCTCGAATTTCTCTGCACGTTCGAGCAAGCGAGACTTGGCTGAGTTGAAATCCTCATATTCTAGAGCAGAAGTGCGGGTCACATATCGCATGAATAGATCGCATCCTGCTGTCAAGGAGATAGAGGTCGTATCCCATGACTGAAAGATGAACATAAGAACCATCATAAAATTCACTAGCCAAAAACTGACACATTTAGGATCTGTCTCTGACAATTTAAACATATAGTTACAAAAGAACCGACTACCCGAGTGCAAAACCAGACACTTAATACAACAACTGAAGCCTATAATTCGAGACATCTACCATCTGATGCCTAAACCGGTATTACCGGACTAATCACACCGCCGATTTCCCATCTATAAGAAGAATAGTATCATAGAAGAACCAAAGCACATCGATAAACAATGCAGGTGCATCATTTCTGTCCCATCATACCCTCTGGAGCAACAGGATAAAACACAAACAAAGCTGAAACTAATTGGACAAACTGGCTCAAGTAAAGAAAAAAAACCCTACAAGGTGTCAAGGTCAAGTTCCCGGAATATGCAATTCCCAAATCACATCATTCATTTAAAGTTATTCCCAATTCAATTAGGGTATGAATGAATACAAGGCCCTTCACAAATCAAGCCACAAAACCAGAAACGACTACAACTATGGCTCAGTTCCTACACATTAACTCATCAAAGCTCGAGACTTTTCTTATCCATTTGCTTGACCGAAGTCGGAATCCAACGTTCGCGGTCTCGGGTATTACCCTAACGACAAATACGGCGATCGCATTCCATTGAAATTCGAACAACCACCATAAAAGACTCGTCTTTTTCAGACACATTCACAGACAAGGAAAAAAGGCGCTTACTTTCAAGGTATCAGAAGCTTTCTTTAGCTCGATTTCGAGTTCCATCATCGTGGTCGCCTCGCTTGCCCTAATCACCGCCGCGAGCGCGCGAATCGCCGCCACGGCCTCCGCCAAATCGGGCTGCTTCCTCCATCTGTTAAACTCCTCAATCACGCTAAAGGAATTTCCCGTGCCGACTCCGGGAGAGACCGGAAGGCCGTGGTCGGGATTGCGTCCGACGGCGGCTTCGGCCTGCGCGAGCCAATCGCTGGTGACGACTCCATGGTGCGCCGCGCGAGTCTGGTAATACGCGGAGATGGGATCGGGTCGAGGGTTAGGGTTAGGGTTTTGGGGGGTGCCAGCCATGGAAAGCGACGAGAGAGGGGGAGGGGACTGCGAGGAAGGGAGGAGAGAGACGGGTGTCGGTGGCTGTACGGCGTCGTTTGCCCGTTTGTCGAGGATGAAAGATGCTGATCTCCTCCACATTGTTAATTTTTGCGTATATGAGAAAATATGGTAATGTACTTAATTAGCTCATGTTTAAATTCATAATTAAGTTGATTATGTTATTTTAAGTTTCCATATCACTCTTTGCTAAAACTAATTACCGATTTGACCCCCGACATCTAATCCATCATCTCCAACATAGTCTATGAAACTATGTCGCGTAATCAACGGATATCCAGCGAACATATAAGCAATGTTGGGCTTTCCATTAGGCCCATGAAACATGTGAGGCCTGTCCAATTCTTTTCGAGAAAAATAATTATTTTCTGAAAACAATTCCTTTTTATTTGATTTTTAATATTTTCATATTAGTTATTTCAATTTGTTTTAAAATTATATTTATTCATTTTATTTATTAATTTATTTGGTTTAAATTTTATTTAAATAGAAATAATTACTTTCATAATTATGATAAGTAATTTATTTTATAAATATCAGATTTTATATATATATATATATATATATACACACACACAAGACCGAAATTGTTAAAGAACATTATCCTTTGAATTCCCAATTGTGTGTATGAGTTTATATACGTAATTTTTTGCTGTCACCTGACTATATATATGTATAAATATTGATATTTTAAACCTTGGAACTAATTTTATTGTAAAAATAAAGATTATTTTATGGCTATTAAATGATAGCGATTACGTTAAGACGATGAAAAAACAGACTTGATGAATATAAAAGTAATGACGGTTTTTGTTAGATAACGTCTAATAATTTAAGATATACAATATAAAATATTTGCCGTGTATACATATATATACGCACATATATACACGCACTTTTTTGTCGCTATTTTACGGCAACATATATTTAATAAATCCGTAGAGCAAAAACAATAAATCCGATATCTGAATCTGTCGACCATATTTATTTCATATTTGGGTATATATGATGAAGTGATCTAACGACATCGATGACGTGTTTAATGGGTTTTGAATGATCATGTTGTACCAATACATTTATGATGTATAAAGGAATGGATATTTTGGATTTTGGTATTTTTGGGTTTTATATAAATTATATTTTATTTGGGTTTTATATTATTATTATTGTTCTATAGGAATTTATTCTGTATTATATTTTTATTCGTTTTTTAATAAGAACTAAAATTGTATGTTAAAGGCCCATCGTTCATAAACCATCATAGCATGTCCCCTTGATATTAGAATAAAATCCAAAGCAATATGAACTGTATTATTGCTGCATTATTCCTAATTATTCAATGTTATGATAGCATAAATTTGATTTTTTTTTTTAATGTCCATTTGCGAATCGGGTAATTAATTATATTTGTTCATTGGAAAATATTTGCCTTATTAGGGAACAAACGCAAGGGTATTATGGGAAATGCATTGGGGTAAAAACCTGTTTGTAAAAAAAAAAAGTAAATGTTTTTGGAGTTTAGTTTACCTACGCGAAGGTGTAGGTTGTGAAATTTGAGAACCCGCGTTATCGATGTCGCTTTCTCTGCCACAGAAATACATGAAAATCATCAGTCAATAGCTCAACCACGACAGAGAAATTACTAAAAAAAAAAAAAAAAAAAAATCTTCTTTCTGAAATCAAAAGGCAAAGATTGCTTGAATTTCGAGTATAGGGGAAGAAGATCGTCTGATGATTGGAAATTTCCTGGGGAAGGTAATCTGGCGGGATATCCCGATTTTGATGTTTGGATTACGCCGTAAATTCGGAAACGATACTCTTTGAATCTTAATTCGGAAATTAAACCATTAGGGTTTTCGGTGTTTGCTTTCTTCTCCTTGGAGCTGCGAAATTAGCATACAATCGGTTTCTGCGAATTGGGTTTTCTTCGATTTCATCTGCGGTCGCATGTCAGGGGAGATCTTGCTTGAAGGCAGATAGGGAAGAAAAAAGTTTGAAGCTTTCTCCGATCGGACCCACAATTCTTTGGTATCGTTCTATTGATGAATCTTGTTCAACATCTCTGGTTGGTCTTGTGTTATTCAGATTGGGTCTCGTGTTAATCTGGTGATCGTCGATTACGGGTTTAATCTTGGATTTCACAGTGGTAGGTGATTCAGGCATGGTTAATAGTTGGATTAGGAGTTGGGTTGTGATTGCGACCTTGGTTTCTCATTGAGACAATTCTGGTGTTAACTTTTCTGTCTGGTTTGAGTTTCTCAGTGAGGGGGTAAAGCTAATAATCTCTGAACCAGGAACAGTTTAGGCTCGGTCTTAAAAATGTCTCTTGGTATCCATCTTTCTAGGATGAGATAATAGAACGCAGGCACGCACACTCCGAGTTGGTGTAGATGTTTGGGATTATCAGAAGGTCTTTCATCTTGTTAGATTGAAATTTTTTCTGAGGGTGAATCAGTGTGAAACTTTTTGATTCTGGGCATTGAAGGTATACCAGATCAAGACACCGACCAGTGTAATTGCATTTGGGTTTTGATCGTTTGGTGCTGAGTTTTATCGAAATGATCTCCCAGACTTCAATGCTCATGCAGCATGATGGTTTGGGAAGGTCTTAGATGGATGCCAGAGGAGATAATAATAATAGGACATTATCTGAGATAGTAGGTTTGATAAAGTCCTGGCTCCCCTGGAGATCCGAGCCAGCTACTGTCTCCCGGGATTTTTGGATGCCTGATCAGAGCTGTCGTGTATGTTACGAGTGTGATAGCCAGTTTACCCTTATCAACCGTAGACATCATTGCCGTCATTGTGGCAGAGTCTTTTGTGGAAAGTGTACGTCAAACTCGATACCCGTCCCTTCCAGCGACTCGAAAACTCCCCGTGAAGAGTGGGAGAAGATTCGTGTTTGCAATTACTGTTTCAAGCAATGGGAACAAAGTGATGGCGGACCACGGGTTTCAATTCAGGCAGAACTTAGTACATCGCCTTCAGGGACAAGTTTTCTTAGCTCACCCTCCAGTACTACAGCCAATAGTAGCAGCTTTGCTTTCGGCTCGATGCCAGGCTTAATTGGACCTTATCAAAGGATTCAACGAAATTCTGATGTCAGTAAACATATGGTATCTGCAATGGAAACAAATACAATCAGGCAAGGCAAAGCAACTTCTGGGAGGAGTAGTTTCGCTGCCACAGATGTGGAAGACCCATGTCGCTTTACTTCAAACAGGTTATTTTCTTTTCTTTTTTCATGTGAATTACGCTCCAGCTACCTGATGACTTTCATTTTTTTTTTGCGTAAGATTTTGTTTTGCTCGGGAATTTGCTTAGCTACTGACTGAACTGTACTCTCCTCAATATTTATTTGTTTCAATTTTGTGAACTTGTATAAATTATTACCAGCCATCCTCTGGGAAAGACGAGAGATTTTTATTTAGTGTAGATTCAAATTCACAATGATCACTAATTGTTTTTCTGGTTCTGCATTAGGAGTGATGACGAGTTTGATGAGTATGGTGTATACCACCATGATATGGAGACGAGGCTTTCTCCTCGAGCTAATGTATATTATGGTCCAGTTGGATATGATGAGATGTGTATTGATGATGGCTGTAAGCTGCATCACAATGGAGATGCCGCTGACCAAAGTTTAAGTGGCTCTCCCCTCATTCATAGCTGTTTCCAGTCTCTAAGTTCAGACGAAACAGAACAGTTCCAGAAGAAAGATGATAAGGATGGTGGACCTTCCCCTGCAGATACTTCAGAGGAACCTGTTGATTTCGAGAACAATGGACTCTTGTGGGTTCCACCCGATCCGGAAAATGAAGAAGACGAGAAAGAAAGCGCCTTGTTCGATGAGGATGACAACGAGGGAGATGCCTCGGGAGAGTGGGGGTATTTACGCCCTTCCAATAGTTTTGGGAGTGGAGAGTACCACAGCAGCGGGGACAGAACAAGCGAGGAGCACAAGAAGGCTATGAAAAATGTGGTTGACGGGCATTTTAGGGCTTTGATAGCTCAACTGTTACAAGTTGAAAATATCCCTGTGAGTGATGCAGATGGAAAAGAGAGCTGGTTAGAGATTATCACCTCTCTTTCTTGGGAAGCTGCTAATCTGTTGAAGCCCGATATGAGCAAAGGCGGTGGGATGGACCCGGGTGGCTATGTCAAAGTAAAATGCTTAGCCTCTGGTTCCCCACATGAGAGGTACGATCAGCAACATATATACATATATATATATATATATTGTTTTTTGCCATCATCATATTGTTCAGATACTTTTAAAGTTCCAATTTTTTGTAAGTAATTTTCATCTTGGCATTTTAACAGCATGGTTGTGAAGGGAGTTGTTTGCAAGAAAAATGTGGCTCACCGACGAATGAGAGCAAAGATTGAAAAGCCTCGGCTGTTGATCCTGGGCAGTGCCCTCGAGTATCAAAGGGTTTCAAACCAGTTGTCAAGTTTCGATACTCTATTGCAACAAGTAGAGTTTGCCTATCTTCTTTTGTTCGATTATCTCTTTTATCATTTAGATATGCAATTGGTTATTTGCCTAAACCTTCTGCTCGTTATTGGTTTCAGGAAAAGGATCATCTAAAGATGGCCGTGGCAAAGATCCATGCAGAACGTCCTAATATTCTCTTGGTAGAGAAATCAGTTTCGCGATTTGCACAAGAGTACCTTCTTGCCAAAGACATATCCCTTGTTCTAAACATTAAGCGGCCACTTCTAGATCGCATTGCTCGGTGCACCGGTGCTCAGATAATTCCTTCTGTGGATCATCTCTCCTCTCAGAAACTTGGTTACTGTGACAATTTTCGTGTGGAGAGGTTTCTTGAAGAACATGGTTCGGCTGGTGAAGGTGGGAAGAAATTAGTGAAGACATTGATGTATTTCGAGGGTTGCCCAAAGCCATTAGGGTTTACGGTAAGCACTTCGAACCCCTACCTTCCAAGAAAGACAAGAATCTCACAATCTGAATATCTCGATATCTGAAGAACTTTTTTATTTTGTTGTCCTTTCTGCGTCAGATTTTGCTTAGGGGTGATAATGGAGATGAGTTGAAGAAAGTGAAGCATGTCGTCCAATACGGACTTTTTGCAGCTTATCATTTGGCTTTAGAGACTTCGTTTCTTGCTGATGAAGGAGCCTCTCCCGATCTTCCATTGAACTCTCCAATAACTGTGGCACTTCCCGATAAATCTACAAGCATCGAACGTTCAATATCTACCGTGCCTGGTTTCTCTGTCTCTACAGTTGAAAAATCACTTACAGTTCTATCTGGTGATGTACCATTAAGGGCAAATACCGTCCCGGCATCACAGCTGGTGTCATCCATCAGCAATCTCTCAGTCCAACATACCGAAATGGATAGAGATCCTCAGATACCCAATACTTCGAGTTGGCAGCCTCGAGAAGTGAATCCCGTTTTCATTGGTTCCCGCCCTGCTGTTTCACTGAATTTGCCTGACCGTGTGGTAGAGGGCAGAAGTTCAAATTTCTCCGTAAGATCTTCAATGGTGGATGCACCAGTAGAGAACGTTAGGCCAAACATTGCAGCCGCTTATACAGCTGACAGTTCATTTAGGTCATTACATTCTCCGGAGCAAGCTGTTGTTCCAGAGAGTTCTACCATTGATGTTGGTTCAGAGCTTTCAACTGTGCAACAAGAGAACAGTGAGAACCAAAAGGAAACAGAATCTCTGAAAGAGGAATTCCCTCCATCCCCTTCTGACCACCAGAGCATATTGGTCTCTTTGTCATCCCGGTCAGTGTGGAAAGGAACTGTATGTGAGAGATCCCATCTCTTTCGGATAAAATACTACGGGAGTTTCGATAAACCTCTGGGTCGGTTCTTGAGAGATCATTTGTTCGATCAGGTGAGGTTCTTTCCCGATTATTCTCTATTGCACAACTCAAAATCATAATCTAAATTGCTCCAAAAACGTGTTGCAGAGTTATCGATGCCATTCATGTGAGATGCCATCAGAAGCACATGTTCACTGCTATACTCATCGGCAGGGCAGCCTCACAATATCGGTAAAGAAGCTACCGGATTATTTTTTGGCCGGAGAAAAGGAAGGAAAGATAAACTCGATTATATAAGGTCTCTTAGCCGGTGCAAGAAATGGGGTGCTCAAGGTGGAAAGAGTAATGTCTTCTTTGCGAAAACCCTAGACGATCGGTTCATCATCAAGCAGGTTACCAAGACAGAACTGGAATCGTTCATCAAGTTCGCGCCTGCTTACTTCAAGTACTTATCTGACTCTATCGACACGAAAAGCCCGACCTGCCTTGCGAAAATCTTGGGAATTTATCAGGTAGTTACACTCAGAGCTCAATCTGTTTTGTCCTGATGAACATCTTCCATGATCCACACACGTTTTATGTTAGATCCATTCTGAGTTCAATCGAGTTGACAGGTCGCGGTGAAGCAGTCGTGTAGTGATGTCTGATGCCGCTTGGGGATTATCCTTCGGCAAGTTTCTAGAGCTCAGTTTCTCAAATCACGCTGCCGCAAGTAGAGTGGCATGTTGTGGCCATTCCCTCCATAGGGACTGCCTCCGTTTCTACGGGTAATTGTTTTCTTTTCTCGAACCACCTTCAGAAATCCTCGTGACGTTTTAAATGCGAGAAATTTATCGATAGAATCCTTAGGTTTTATCAAATACAAGTGAAAATATAATAACATGAAAGAAAACCATTTTAAAGGGAAGTGTCCCACTAGTCTTGACCGAAAAGTTTCAACATTAACACCAAGCCTAGATGATATAAGATGTTCATCCTGCGGGGATTTCGGAATTTGTGTTTTGGTCACGCAGATTCGGGAACATGGTCGCTTGCTTCCGGTATGCAACGATAGATGTTCATTCGGTTTATCTCCCGCCTTCAACACTTAATTTCAACTATGAGAACCAGGACTGGGTTCAGATAGAGATAGATGAGGTTCCATCCTTACCATTTTGATTCTCTTTATGTAAGCTTTTTTTGGATTTTTAGTTTTTTAAAGTCTTCACACATTTCTCTTGAACAGGTGGTGGAGAGAGCAGAGCTTCTGTTCTCTGAAGTGTTGAATGCTATTAGTCAAATTGCAGAGAAAGGTTTGAAAGAATCCAGGCGCCGAATTGGAGAACTTGAAGCAGCACTGCAAAGAGAGAAGGTGGAATTCGAGGTGAGACTGCTTATATCGAACCTTCTAGAGCTCAGCCCACATGATATAATAACCATATTAACTAAGCCATTTTAAGATAAGGTTCACGTTCTTTGAAAGAATCATTTTATCGGTTTATATGATTTCCCAATTTGTTATTGTTCTTATTGCATTTGCCTCCAGGACAATATGCAAAAGATTTTGAAGAGAGAAGTGAAAGAAGGTCAACCTCTAGTCGACATTCTTGAGCTATACCGTATCCGAAGGCAGCTGCTTTTCCAGTCGTATATGTGGGATCACCGCTTGATTAATGCAGCACATTTAGATAGCCTCGAGGCTGGAAGTAATGCCACCGAAAGAGAAGAACATGAGAAACCCTTGGCTAAGAGCCAGACGCTCCCAGAGATGAATGCCGGGACCGATTCTCTTTATCTGAACCCAGATGGTGAATCTGCTACAAGTTTGGATCTGAACCGAGAGAAAGAAAATGAGGGAAATCTTACATTACCTGATGAATCTGATGCTTCAGAAAGTAAGCTTGATGTTCGGAGGACACAGTCAGATGGGGAGATCGTTATGAAAAATTTGTCGGCCACCCTTGAAGCGGCATGGACAGGTGAGCATCGTGCCCAAGTTGAGATTCCGAAAGATAGTGGCAACCTCTTGCCTAATGTTGCAGCCTTATCAGACTCTTCGACTTTACCTTCTTCGGTGTTGGACCTCTCGGAACAGCAAAATGAATTCAAGGTATCTCGTCCCGTTTCACCAGCTTTACCGAGCAAGAATTATGAGAATTCAGAAGATTCTGTGAGCTGGTTAGGTATGTCGTTCTTCAATTTCTACCGTTCCATCAACAAGAGTTTCCCGGCCAGTAGTCAGAAGCTCGACACGTTAGGCAGCTATAGCCCGGTCTACATCTCATCGTTTAGAGAATCGGAACTTCAAGGTGGTGGACCTAGGTTACTTCTGCCAGTGGGTATCAATGATATCGTTGTTCCGGTTCATGATGACGAGCCCACGAGTATTATCGCCTATGCACTGATGTCACCCGAGTATCATCGTATAATTTCGGGTGAAGGGGAATCTCTGGTTTCATATCCTTCTGAGCTGAGTCTCTCTCGCTCTGTCGACGACACGATATTTGATCCGAGCAGAAGTCTTGGCTCGGTTGATGAGAGCATACTTTCCATGTCTACTTCTCGAAGCACGCTCCTTCTGGACCCACTCTCATATACAAAAGCTCTGCATGCCCGAGTCTCGTTCGGAGAGGATGGCACGCTCGGGAAGGTGAAGTATACGGTCAGTTGTTATTATGCGAAACGGTTTGAAGCACTACGGAGTGTATGTATACCCTCGGAACTCGATTATATAAGGTCTCTTAGCCGGTGCAAGAAATGGGGTGCTCAAGGTGGAAAGAGTAATGTCTTCTTTGCGAAAACCCTAGACGATCGGTTCATCATCAAGCAGGTTACCAAGACAGAACTGGAATCGTTCATCAAGTTCGCGCCTGCTTACTTCAAGTACTTATCTGACTCTATCGACACGAAAAGCCCGACCTGCCTTGCGAAAATCTTGGGAATTTATCAGGTAGTTACACTCAGAGCTCAATCTGTTTTGTCCTGATGAACATCTTCCATGATCCACACACGTTTTATGTTAGATCCATTCTGAGTTCAATCGAGTTGACAGGTCGCGGTGAAGCAGCTTAAAAGCGGGAAAGAAACGAAGATGGATGTTTTGGTTATGGAGAATCTTCTGTTCGGAAGAACTGTGAAAAGGGTATACGATCTCAAAGGATCCTCTCGGGCACGATACAATCCCGACTCTTCCGGGGCAAACAAAGTCCTGTTGGATCAGAACTTGATTGAAGCAATGCCAACTTCTCCGATTTTCGTGGGTAATAAAGCCAAGAGACTGCTGGAAAGAGCTGTCTGGAATGATACTGCTTTCCTTGCAGTAAGTTTGGTTATATATTCTTCTTTTTCTTGCATTCAACTCTTAGCCCTTTTTTCAGAATCATTACATAAGTTCATACTCGTTATTTATCTTTGTGTTGGGGATACAACAGCTAGTCGACGTGATGGATTACTCGTTGCTCGTGGGAGTGGACGAAGAAAACCACGAGCTGGTACTTGGAATCATCGATTTCTTGAGGCAGTATACATGGGACAAGCATCTAGAAACTTGGGTAAAAGCTTCTGGAATCTTGGGAGGGTCCAAGAACGATTCACCAACCGTGATTTCCCCGAAGCAATACAAGAAACGATTCAGAAAGGCGATGACTACTTACTTCCTCATGGTTCCCGATCAATGGTCGCCGCCCAATATCGTCCCGAACAGGTCAAAGTCTGACCTTCTGGAAGAAAACTCTCAGACTGGCACTGCAGCCGAGTGATGTCTGATATATATCCATCCTGTAAGTTTTGTGAAGGAATGGTTCTTTTTTTTTTTACAAGTGGGAACTCTATTCTTCGGCGGGGAATCTTGATTTGTTTTTTTGAAGATTGGCTATCCTCTTCGTTTCGGGTAGAACTTTTTTTTTTTTGTGTGGCAAAGGTTGTGTTTAGATTTTCGCCATTACTGTAGCTTAGGAGATGTCTGAAATCCCTGTGGAAGAGATGAGATTATTGTATCACCTTCTCTTCTTCTCCCATCGTTCAAACCATATATAAAACAGCTGTTTGTACAAAAATCTCATTTGTTCCATGACCTTATAAGACATTTCCTGTGTATAGTGGCAACAGTATCTGTGTTTTGTGAAATTCTTGAATCTTTTTCGTATCTGTTCCATCAATCTCTTTGTATCTTTTAACAGCTCAGTTGTTTCAGTTTGAATAGCTACAGCTCCAGATTCCAAAAGCTTGTCATTGAAATTACTGTAGTTACACGGTATAATCCTAAATTTGATCTAGAAATTCAGAGATTTAATCAGAATCTAGGGTCTGCATGTTCTGTTTTTTTACAAGAGAAACATCATACTTACACGAAGTCTACAAAAGATAATGAAAGATAATGTTTCTTGGTAACTAGAAGAGATCAAAGCTGTTCCACTTCATCATCATCAACCCTTGTTGTGGAGCAGACATCTGTCTATGATTCTTTCCCGCGTCTATCAGCTCCTGATAACTGCGCTGCAGAAGATCAAGAATCTCTGCTTCTCTGTTACGTATATTGTAAACAAGATCGATCCAGTGGTGTTAAACTGAAACAATTGAGTATATACGCACGCATATGTAGTATATACGCACGTGTGTGTGTGTGTACGCGTGCATACCTTGAATAACAAGCCGTTCTTGAGCTCTGTGGGAGACACCGAGGACCTTCGTCGTACCCTTCACAGATGATCTCTCCATTTTCATCTCTGTAACAGACAACACCTTGAGCCAGATCCTCGAAAACCTGTTCAACAAAATTAAAACCCCGGTTTTTCAAGAACCATGTGTTTGCCAAGTGTGTTGCTTCCAGATTCTCAAGAAAATCTAAACCCGGATTCAAGAACCGTGTTTTGCCAAGTGGGTACGGCTCAGATTCTCAAGAAAATGGAAACCCATTATCAAAAACCACGTTTTTCCAAGTGGGTCGTGTCGATCATTCGGAGAAAACAAAAACCAAAAAAAAAAGGTTCTCACTTTGTTCTTGGGGGAGAATCTGACGGGCTGAGGGTGAGGAACAGCCGCTTTCTTGACTTGTAATTGGCTCTGTTGAAACATCGAAGTGCTTCTTCTTCTTACAGGCGTGGGAACAAGGCATGGAGGGATACGAAGCTGACATGAATACGCCATCGCCAATTGCTTTACCCAAACTGTCTCAGAACAACAAAAGATGAAACGGAGGCATTCGATGAGGAGGTGAAAATCATAATGAACAAATTTAGCAAAAAAAGCCTTAAATCAATTCTCTGTGTGATTAAGAGAGTGTGGGGTTCAAATTTACGTAAGATGCAATGAAGATGATTTGTTTATTAAGAGATATGACAAAACAGGTAAATGTCTTTGTCGTGGAGCCAAATCATCAATTATCGAAATAACTTGATGATTTGTTTTTATTCTTTACCACTTTTGTTCTAACGGTCCGTTGGGTGGAATGTCCCTTTGGTTCTGTAGTCGTTGAACTTTGTGCACATCAATCCATTCCACACCAAAAAAAAAAACAATAATAATAATATGTCAGACTTTTTTTTTAATATTATCGATTTTTTGTTGAAATGTAATTATTTGACGATATTTAGAGTATTTATAGTTAAAATAATCTTTTTAAATTTGGAATATAAATATATATATATAAAGATTGGATGAAAATCTAATATATTATAATAATACGACTATTTAAATATTTTGTAATGAAAATCGCACGATATCTTGATATAAAAACTTAAACAAAACCATTAATGAGTTTTTTTTTTGCAATATAACAAAATAAATCTACATAATACTAACGCTTGTTTAACGACTAAACCTTTATTTTTGAAAAATTCTGAACACGAAAATGCATTTCTAAATTACATAACGCATTCACACCAATCCGGATTATTGATAATTAGGATCCAAAAATACGTTAGTTGCATTGTTAGCCCAACTTCAGGCCCAATTAAAGATTGACAAAATTTGTCGGCCCAATTAAAGCCCACGAATGCGACTAAACGTCGAACCCTTCCTAACTTGTTGCTCAAGAAGTGCGTCTTCGAAAGCTCAAAAGGAGCAGACTGGTGAAGGAGTCTTGTTCTTCGATTCGCAAATCAACGAACTGGTAAGATTCTCTGCCTTCTTCTGCAGTTCGTAATGGTTTCTCTTCTCTTTCAATCCGTTTCCGGTTTCTAAATTTTCTTCGATCCGTTAAATTTCTAGGGTTTTACTCTTTTGTGCCGACGTCAGGGCTTTTCAGATCGAGATCTAAGAAGAAGATGTTCCTCACCAGGTAAAATCAGCATTTTCCGATTCTTCCTTTTGGAAATGGTCCTTTTTCAGGTTTCTGGGCTGGGTGTAGTTGCTGTCATGTTGCCGCAAACTTGTTCCTGCGTAATAATAGCGATCGTTTCTGGGTCCTTGTTGATTGGTTTTGTTCGAAGGACTGAGTACGACAGAGGTGTCAACACCTTTTCCCCTGAAGGTCGGCTGTTCCAAGTCGAGTATGCCATTGAAGCCATCAAGGTAACTCATCGATTATCAAATTCCGTATGTTTCTCGAATAGCATCGAGAAAATCGTGGAAAATGGTTTTTTCCTCGATTTTCAAATTCCGTATTGTTAGCTATAGTTAGTCATGGAATGAAAATTTTCTGTGAGTTCTTCGCTCTTTGCATCATCTTGGCTAGGCGTGATGTGCTGGCTTGGGATTTGGCTTAGATTAGGATTGCCGTTGTGTATGGACATGGTGTCGAGGTTTTGATGAGTGGGTGATTCTTGCTTGCAGCTTGGTTCTACTGCTATTGGAGTAAAGACGAAGGAGGGAGTAGTGCTCGCTGTCGAGAAGCGTATCACCTCGCCTCTGCTGGTCAGTTCTCTAGTTGTTTCCCCCTCTACTAAACTTGCTATGTTTGGAAAGAAAATGGGGTTTTAGTTTTGGTATGAGCTTCAGAACTTGAGAGCTAACTCATATTTCTTACGGGCAGAATCATGTTTCTGTTTAACCCATCAGGAAACTTGTATTAAAAAAAGTGATTATTGGCTTTGTTGTTGCTTGAAAAAAAAATCACCTCAGGGAACTTGTGTTCTATCTGGCTAGTGGATATTAGTTATGGTGACCACAACTTTTTTTTTTATCAGTCTCTCTCTTTAAATCTTTTGCCAGGAGCCGAGCAGTGTAGAGAAAATTATGGAAATCGACCAGCACATAGGATGCGCCATGAGCGGTCTGATTGCTGATGCTCGTACACTGGTGGAGCATGCACGAGTTGAAACTCAAGTGAGACGTTAGGTTTTGCTGTTTCTCTTTGCCATTTCCCTTCGAATGTGAAGAGGCATTTATGTTTTGGACTGGCATTTTTTCTGTTCTGACAGAACCACAGGTTCTCCTATGGTGAGCCAATGACTGTAGAGTCCACAACACAAGCTCTGTGTGATCTTGCTTTAAGATTCGGTGAAGGAGATGAAGAGTCGATGGTAAGAATAGTTTACTCTTTTGCTTATAGCATTAGAATCTTTAATGGGTATAACATTTGTAGCGTTAGATTGCTAGAATAGCCTAGTAAAGCCAGGCTCTTCCAAAGCAGTTCAATCTTACGAAAACCCATTTGTAGTATATTGTATATGCCACATCATTTCAGGTGTTAAAATAGTTGGTATGTGCGAATCTCGGTTTCTATATGAATATTTGATGGTTTACATGGATGATTTTTGTATGCAGTCTCGGCCATTTGGAGTATCTCTTCTCATAGCTGGTCATGATGAAAATGGACCGAGCCTGTAAGTTTGAGATAGACTTTGCCTGCCTTTCTACTGATAACACAACGTGATAGGACTGTCTCTTTTGCAGATACTACACCGATCCTTCGGGAACGTTCTGGCAATGCAATGCAAAGGCGATTGGTTCGGGCTCGGAAGGCGCTGACAGTTCCTTGCAAGAACAATACAACAAGGTATTTATGCTTTCCATAAAACTTTCAAACCATTTCCCAAACAATCGGGTAGCTTCTCCCCGAGGGTTTATGTGATTTCCCGCTGTTTTCCCATGTTATAACTTTCAGGATTTGACTCTCCAAGAGGCAGAAACGATCGCAATGTCTATCCTCAAGCAAGTTATGGAAGAAAAGGTACTAACTCCAGTGATATTATATGTCATGCACTCAAAGCATTGATGTCGATTTGAGGATTCTGATCTGATCATTCTCTGGAATAGGTGACTCCAAGCAATGTGGACATTGCCAAGGTTGCACCCGAGTATCATCTTTACACTCCTCAAGAGGTGGAAGCAGTTATCAGTCGTTTATGATGCCGACGGGGGAACATGCTTCTCTGCCTCCAGGAATCTTGGTTTGTCGGGTTATTTCTCGGGTTGTCTGATTCCGATTTCTGAACCAGGAGACTGTCTTTTTTTTTAATCTATGGCACAAAACTTTTCACTCTTGTCTGTCAGATGAGATGATGTATGCCAAACATTCAGCCGAGAGATATGTAAGAACCTTTCCTTTATCTGAAATCTTTCGACAATCTCGAGAGTACTGTGGTTCGAGTGTTTGTGTCTGACTCTAGGGTGGGTGCGCGTTATCCGAAATTTTTGAGTATCGGCCAATCTACAGGACGGGACGGGATGTGACGGGTCTGTCCAAAATCCAACATTCAGGTTTTGGTCGGAATTGACTTGTGTTCCAATGGGTTGTGTTTTTTTGTTTAAAAGCATTTGAAACAACTCAGAAGAAGATTAGAGATTTTGTATTTTAAGCATTTGGAACATATGAAGCCAATCCCACATCGTTGAAACAAGCATTTTGGGATAAGAGAAATCACAGAGGCTCATCAAAAGGGACGCCGGTGTTGTTCAGCCACACCTTCCCGCTGATGAACTCGCCAACGGTAAACTTCTGAGCCTCTTCAAGGGTCATATTGGTATCGGCCCATTTAACCCGTTTGCCCAAGCCTGATCCCGGCCCACTATTCTTATACTCTCCATAGTATATCATCGGTTTCGGAGGCCCATTCGCATTCCACGCGATCCAACCGGCCGGGTCTATCAGCGACCCGATTTCGGTTCTCATCACCACTGTGGTGGAAAAGTTCTTCCAAGGCCGTCCTAGGTAAACCGCCGCCGTCAAATTATCGCCGTCAAAGGGAGAAATCGTGCTTCTTACGATCGAAAAACCCGATTTCGCATACGGGTCGCTGACCGAATGAGCCGTGACCGTGTCGTACTGCCCCCGGAGCGGCTGCCGCGGCCGGATCGTGCAGTTCTCGAAAACGGCGGCCGCGTGGCCGAAGATGAAGTCGATGGAACCGACTATGTCGCAGTCGCGGTAGAATTGTTCGCCTCTGTGAGCGTAGAGCGTGTCTTGGTAACCGGCGAACGCACACTGGTACAAAACCGACCGGCTCGATGTAGACCGGAATGCGACCGCCTGATGTTTTTCCGGCCCTGCGGTATTAACGAACTTCAAGTCCTTGGCCATGAATCCGTTTCCTTCCACAGCTGCAAAACCGAAAGAGAACCGGACCGGTTAAATCGTAACCGGAAATTAAACCTGATCATTGGACTTTGAAGACTTACCGAACGTAGCCGTTTGAAAGGTTCTCAAGGTGGGATCGTCGATCGTATTCCGTCTCCCGGTGACGATCGTCTTCGAGATGCCGTCTCCGTACATTAAAATATTCCATTTGTTCTTAGGCAAGAACACGTTTTCTGTGTAAACACCTTCCTTTATGTATACAAGGAACCTTGAGTTGCTCTTGTCGGGAGCTGCAGCCACCGCCTCGTTGATGGTCTGGAAGTTTCCAGACCCGTCTTTAGCCACCGTGACATCGGGTGTCAGATCAGAGGAGTCGAGAAGAGCTCGACGGTCACCGAGACCAAGCCAGTCTGGAAACCCTAATTTGGTTTCTTGTAACCCAAGCAACCTCCTGTGACCCGACTTCTTCTCCAAGCCTGGTAATTGATGGTCACCCAAGATTCTGGTAACAATGGCCAAGCTGTTGCTGACAAACTCCGTCGAGTCCTTCATAGAATCTTTCAGATTCTTGATGAGCTTCAGATTCCTTTGGTAACCCGAGAAATCCGAGTCCAGAATCTCGTCGATGCCCTCGAAGCAAGTATCGTGATCGATAATCGCAAAACTCAGCTTGCTCCTAATCTCATCGATCTCCACCATTGTCAAGGCCTTCTCCAGCCCGTCAAAGCTTTCAATCGTCTCGTTCAGATGCTCCAAAGCATCGACGATCATCTCATCGCAAACCTTCAAACTGACCTTAACGGATTCATCAGCAGTTGACGAAATCAGCTTTCTCGGGTACCCGAAAATCCTCAGGTGCTCTTCTCGAGCTTTAAGGAGAGAGGCCCGGAAGAGAATCTTCGGATCTGACGAGTTGACAGACAAGAGTGTCGAATAGCACTTGTCCGAGTAGAGAGTGGCGTTGCAGACCGTCTTCAACATGGTCGAAGCAGACAAAACACGTCTCAGTGATGATGATGAGTTTGATTCAGATTCTGTTGTGTTCGGAAATATGAAAACCCCAAACACGAGGAGAGCGGCCAATGAGACAGAAAAGACAGTGAAACACCACTTTCTCAATGGCTTATGCGTCTCCTCCTCCTGCATTTTGGCTTTGCCATTGCTACGAACAGAGCTTACAAGCTCCATCTCCACCGAAACTTGTTATGTTCTCTCTCTCTCTCTCTCTCTCTCTCTCTCTCTCTCTCTCTCTCT